AGATAAATAGCTCATTGGAGGTGGGAGACAGGCTCACTCCCTGGGAGACATTGCAGTTGACAAAACACATAGAACTATGCCAGTGCCCAGAGCTGGAGAAGCCATGGGAAGACCCCTGCCAGCATTGAGATGCTTCGACTGCCACTGGATCCACAAGACGTCTCGCTTACTGGCCTGTGATCTTCCTGCTTTTGGCGTCATCGCATGTGATTCATGAGTCTGCAGAGGACTTTATAGATTGGTATCGGACATATGGGCTAATATCAAACTTATGGACTTGATCTGGACTGGGCTGGGGTGTTTTCTCAATAGTCAACTGCGCTTGTATATAAAGCTCTTTCTTTTTTCTTTTTTTTAAAACATTTTATTAGGGGCTCATACAACTGTTATCCCAATCCATACACACATCAATTGTGTAAAGCGCATTTGTACATCGTTTCTCAAAACATTTTCTCTCCATTTAAACCCCCGACATTAGGTCCTCATTTTCCCCTCCCTCCCCACTCCCCCCTCCTGCATGAGCCCTCGATAGTTCATAAATGGGTATTTTGTCATATCTTGCCCTGTCCGACGTCTCCCTTCATCCACTTTTCGGTTGTCTGTCCCCCAGGGAGGAGGTCACACACAGTTCCATGTAATCGGTTCCCTCTTTCCTACCCATTCTCCCCTTACCCTCCCTGTTTTGCCACTCACACCACTGGTCCTATAGGGCTCATCCATCCTGGATTCCCTGTATTTTCAGTTCCTATCTGTACCAGTGTACCTCCTCTGGTCTAGCCAGACTTGCAAGATAGAATTCGAGTCATGGTAGTGGGAGCGGGGAGGAAACATTTAGGAACTAGAGGAAAGTTGTATTTCTCATCATTGTTACATCGCACCCTGACTGGCTCATCTCCTCCCCGAAACCCCTCTGCAAGGGGATCTCCAGTGGCCTACTAATGGGCTTTGGATCTCCACTCCGCACTCCCCCCATCATTCACTATGGTAAGATTTTTTGTTCTGATGATGCCTTACACCTGATCCCTTCGACACCTTGTGGTTGCATAGGCTGGTGTGCTTCTTCAAAGCTCTTTCTTAAACACATATGAGTGTTTATGAATTTGTTTCTCTAGCCAACCCAGATTAACACACTGTATTATGTACAACATAATCACACAATAGTTTTAATCAAAAGGTTTAGAGTAAAATGCCTTCATTATTCAAAAATAATAATTCAATGTAGAGATTCTTCAAAATAGAGATATTTTCTTACACAACCATAGTACATTAAAAAATTTACATACTATTAGCATTCCAGGAGCCCTAATGGCATAGTGATTATACATTGGTCTGCTCACCACAAGGCCAGCTATTTGAAACCACCAGCCACTTAATGAAAGAAAGACAAGGCTTTCTACTCCTGTAAAGAGCCACCATCTCAGAATGCATGGGCAGTTCTATCCTGTCCTATAGGGTCACTATGAGTTGAAATCGATTAAATGGCAGTGAGAGTGAGATTGGCATTGTGATTTTGTCAGTTGACCTAATATTGCCTTTTGGATCACTTATTGCCCTCTGGTGCAAGATCTAGTCTAGGATCACTTATGACATTTGGTTTTCATGTATTTTTAGTATCAGTTAATCTGGAACATTTCCCTACCCTGCTGTGGTAGTTACATAATCTGGTGTCAATTTGAGGATTCAGAGTGAAGGGGTAGAGTCTAGGCTGTCAGTCAGGTCATAGCCAATGAGATCTCTGTGTGGGCATGGCCTTCTCCTGAGAATTCTGGGAACTCCTATATTCCTCTTTGGAGGTGAGAGACACACTCTTTCTCTCTGCTCACTGCCTGTGAGACATCCCTGTGGAGAAGACAGATGGAGAGAGGCTGATGGAGCCAGACCTCTGGAACCAGAGAAGCCACATGGAGACCCCACCAGCACTGAGATGCTTACACTGCCAATGGATCCACAAGACTTTCCACCCACTGGCCTGTGATCTACCTGCATTTGGCATCATTGCATGTGATTCATAAGTCTGAAGAGGACTTTATAGATTGGTGTCAAACATATGGGCTAACATCAGACTTATGGACTTGATCTGTACTGGTCTTGGGTGTTTTCACAATATTCAACTGCTCTTGTATATAAAGCTCTTTCTTATACCCATACGAGTGTCCATGAATTTGTTTCTCTAGTCTACCTGGACTGACACACCTGTCTTTGTCTTTTACAACATTGACAGTTTTTATAAATCCCATTAACAACCCCTCCCTCCTTTTTGCCCTAATAAGACAGTCTTCATTTAAGTCATCAGATGTTTTCCTCATGATTAAATTCAAGATATGAATTCAAGATCAATTCATTATGTAACTGATGCTGCTTCCTTCTCAGAGCATCGTAATTAGAGGTACAACTTTCTTCAAAACCAAACCCACTGCCATGGGGTTGATTCCGACTCAGCAAACCTATATTAGAGAAGTTAGTTTTGGTCGCCTACTCAAGGGGGTTCCTAATTTTTCCATTGCATAATGACTGTTTTTCCCTTGCAACTAATAGCAAACTATGAGAAAACACATAAAGACCAAGCTAATGTTTTGTTCATCATGAACTTTCCCCTTGATTTTTGCATCCAAATGTTATTTGATAATTTGAAGAAAAATGATAATTTCTCAAGTGTAGCATTCCTATATTTATTACTTTCTCCATGGAATTATACTGTATAGAAGAAACTTCCTTCACATCCATCTACCTGCTAGATGTAATCCATCTATCATCCAGGGCTCATAGATTTCTAACCCCAGTCCCAATGGTTGACAATTTATGATTGTTATCAACTATGTTGCTACTCAGGTTTGGCCTTTTTGACCTGGCTTTTATATTTGGCAATCTCCCTACTGTAGGATCTCTATAGGACCAAATCCATGTGCGGGAAGTGGGTTTGCGTTTAAGGATTTTAAAAAACTCTATTGTGAGTGAGGTGCCAGTTACAAGGCTGATAATCAGGTTTACATTCAACAAGTCATCAAACATCCTGACGTCTTGCCTTGTTTCCATCAGGTTATTCCTATGTCCCTCTTGTTGGGTACTGTCTTCCCTTTTACCCAAGTTCACCTGTCTACCTTTTTGCCTAGGTGTGCAATGGTAGATACATATACATATGCATATATAATATTTAGAAATTATGGATCCCAATCTATTTCTATATGGTTTTTTCTTACCTTCCCTCATTACATATTTGTTTTTTCTTTTCTTTAAATAGCATTTCCTCATTTGTTCAATCATAAAATAGATATGTTATTTGTATAATTACTTGGCTATGATATTCCCCTTCTTCTACCTACCAAATATCAACATTATGCTTAGTTACGTTAGAGGAAATAACTCACTTAACTTGCATACTTTGAATTTAAAAGAATTAATTAAGACCAAAAAAAATTTACTACATCTGAATGTATACACAGGGAGATACTAGTATGCACTAGTAAGAAATGATAACTTAAAATTTTTCTCACACAAACAGATAAAATTCATGGAACAAATGATAATATAGTTGTTTGGTTAGTTTTTGCTTGAAGGCAGAAGGGGATGGGTTAAGGGTGAGGAAATATTTTCAGTGTGGCTACAAAATTTATAACCATAATATCAGTATGTTTACAACATATACTTTTCAGAATAGGCCATAAAAATGTCAAAATTGTTGGAAGACATTCTGTGATTCTAGCACTGATTATAAAAATTACCACCAAGACTCTTTCTTTAAAAATTGCTTGCCAAATGTGGCGAAAAAAGCTGATGGTGCCTGGCTATCAAAAGATATAGCATCTGGGGTCTTAAAGGCTTGAAGGTAAATAAGCGGCCATCTAGCTCAGAAGCAATAAAGCCCACATGGAAGAAGCACACCAGCCTGTGCAATCACGAGGTGTCGAAGGGATCAGGTATAAGGCATCATCAGAACAAAAAAATCTTACCATAGTGAATGAGGTGGGGAGTGCAGAGTAGAGACCCAAAG